ATATTACTAGTTAATATTTCTACTAGCCTATAAATTGCAAATTGAAATCAAGTTCAGCTCAAAAACTTAAAAATTTTCCAAGTCTGTTAACAGTTAGGCATTGCTATGTTTAGCAAATTATTTTGAGAGAATGGGTTAAGAGGTGGTGTAGTGTTATGGCTTGATTTGGTAGTCTCATATGCTATCTTGAGCATGGTGAAGAGGGTTTGGCTCCTGAAGCAACCGTTTAGTTATTTTGGACGCTTTAAAATTCGTGCACGACTCGGTCTCGGGCTGGTTGGCCGCGTGGGCGCGGTCACCACGCTCGGGCCCTCGGCGTCGCCGCGTTGGTCGCGCGTGCGCGGTCTCGGGCTGGTTGGCCACGTGGGCGCGGTCACCACGCTCGGGCCATCGGCGTCGCCGCGTTGGCACGCGCGGTCGGCCGTGGCTGCCTCTAGCCTGGATGTGGCCTGGCTGCTGCTGGCCCACCGCGCAAAGCTGCTGCCGCCCACCCCGCGCCATGACGAAGCCACTGCCGACGCTATCACCTTGCATCATCGCGATCCAAGCGCTGCTTCGCCTCGCGCGGCCATCTGCCGACCCATCTCGCGAGCAGCGCGCCGCTACCGTCGCCGCATCGTCGATCGTCGTCCGTCCGTATCTGTCTCTGTACCCATCTTGCGCCGCGCCGGCCGGTCGCGATCCGCCTCTGTCTATCGTGCGCACGTGGCCGAGCTCACCGTCTCCTTGTCATTTAAGACACTACGGCCGCGTGGGCCATGCTGGTCGGGGACGCGCGCGCTTGTCCGTAGCGTCTGCGTGTGTGCCTCCACGTTCACGTCGACTGCATCCCGCCAAGGCGAGGACGAGCCGAGCCCACCTGCAGTGCCCCGTCTCCCTCTCTTTCTCTCTTTCTCCCTCTGCTGTCGACACGAGCCGCGCCATTCAATTTACCCAGTGAACGATCACCTCCATTCAATTCAGTGCATCCACGGCTTCGCCATCACGTCCTCTGGTTGCCCGACCCCACCCAGCCTTGAACCGTGCCCGGCCGAGCTTCAATTTGGAGTTTTGCTCGCCGCCGTGCCAATAAGGCCGCGTTCGGCCGTGGAACAAGGGCATCCCATCTGCCATCCCTCCTGAACCAAGTCACTTGCACCACTAACTTTCCCTTGCCTCCCTCTCCACCCTGCGCGCCTTAGCCGAACCGCTACCGCCTTCCCGTCGTCACTGACTCGACCGTGCTGCCATGGTGCGCCGCCGCACGTGGCCAGCCCTTCTCCGCCATCCTCCTCCCCAACTGTCACCTCGGCTAGGTCCACTGTAGTATACCGATGCTTCCTCGCTAGACAGTAAGGTTCTGAGGTGCTCTAGATCGTCGGGGCAGCTGCGCCACCATAGCGGACGGTCGCGCGTCGCTACAGTTCACTCCAGCGCGTCCCGCCACCCCTCGCTGCCGCTTAGCGTAGCCGCTTGGGTCAGAGATGGTGATCGACCCGTTAGGTGTCGCCGCGGCGCCGTGCACTGAGTTGCCGGGGGTGCGCGCGGGTGAATTAGGTTAAAATCAGGGGATTAAGTGAGAAGGTTTGAGAGAGGAGGAAATAGTGTTAGTACTTAGTTGTAATTCGGGAGAAGTTCGAGATCTCTTTTGTAAAGTTGTCGACGCGCGCGGGATTTCCCCGCTGTGGGCCGCCTCCGCGTGGGCCGGCCTCGTGTGGGCCGTGCCTGCGGGCCATCGCGCGCGCTGTGTTGCGTGGGCCACGCGGGAGAATCGTTTTTTTCTTTTTCATAAGGAATTAGAAAGAGTTTTCTAATTTAATTTTTGAGCTGATCTTTGATAAATCATATAAAATCATGTATGTGTACAAAAATTGTAAAACATATTTTGTTAGGTTCTTAAAATTGTGCTCTATATGTTAGTGTATTTAGTTCATATATATACATGTTGATACTAGGAGCTATTAAATCATTTGAGAGTGCTCAATATTATTAAGTAAATTATTGTAGGAATTTTTGCGGTAAATTGGTGATAGCTTTACCCCTAAAAATTTTATAGTAGCATCATGGTATTATTATGTGCTCACTGTAATTTTTGTAGCTTTAGAAGAGACTAAACATTAAGGTAGTTAAATGTTCTTTGTTTTAATATACATTAAATCATTAGTAGAAACAAAGATATATCTTTCATTGTAAAGCTAGGTGTTTGTTAGTTGAATCCAACACCTTGCTTGATGAAAATGATAGTTAGCTTATAACCTTAGTTATTAGAGCTAGCTTAGTAGCTTAGTATGCGTATTCTTATTTTAAGAGTTGTTGTTGCATAAAGGCTAAGTGTTGCATCATCATCGCATGCATGTAGAGAACGAGTTGACGGAGATCGTGACCACCGGCAATCACGAGTTTGAGGAGATCATCGAGGAGTATGAGGAGGAGATTCTCGTGCAGGAGGAGGTCCCGGAGCCACCACTGACTAACTCAGCTGACACCGCGCCTGCCCAAGACAAGCACCGGTGCATAACTCTTATTTTTTATAATCACTGAATATATATATGTGATGTGCATTTACGTTACATGAATTTTATGAAAACCACATGCATAGATATAATTGTCCTATGAGTCATACTAGTACAGGTTTGAGTAGCTGCTATGCTTAGGTTTTCGGTAGCGTGAGTAATCTGCCGTTACTCACAATAGGTGATTATTATAATTACTCTCATGATAAAAAGAGTGAAAGGAAAAATGGAGACAGGGCAGGGATATGGTATGGATATTGGTGGGTGTAACAGGTTGTGTCCTGCGGCCAACGGGGCATAGCTTGGTTACACTGTTTTTCCTGTTCGTGTCGATTAAGGACCGTCCGTTGCTGTGAATGATAGTCAGGTCACAGACTTATTATTCTAAGCATATACTTGCTTATGGGAGCGGGAAGACTCATTACGCTCTTGTCGTGGGTTCCGGCTCTTTCCGGACCGACTGATTGGAGGCGGGGAAAGGTGGAGGTCTAAGCACCATACTGAGACCGGGTCTCTAGTGTGGGGGCTTGGAGTCCAAATTTGGACGGGGACCTAGACCCCTCGACAGGAGTGGAATGGGTTGGTCTTGTTTGTGCCTAGGGTACAAACAGGACGTGTGTTTCGGGGTATCCCAGCTGAGATACATTGGTTCATGAATCGCCGTTTCCGTGAGACGGTACGACTTGGCTATGGTCTAGCACCGTAGTAAGAACTGGAAAATGAAAGATGGTGAAATGGTTCTGATTGCTTAACCCTTGCTTGAAAGTAGAAGAGGTGCTTGCCTAGAATGGTTAGCTAACGAAGTAATCATGACTGATAATAAAATTTAACCGTAAGGATTAACTATTAGTAATGCTTTTCGCAAACAAAAAGAAAACAACAAACCCATATTGTCTATCATACTCTTTGGAGTCGAGAAACTATTCTCACTAGTCGGGTAAGTCTTGTGAGTACATTGTATACTTAGGGTTTATTTTACCCCTGTTGCAGGTGCAGCTTGAGGAGTAGCTCTTGTGTGGAGGATTTTTCTGGTGGGCACAGACGGGTCCTTTTATCGTTTTCGCTAGATGCTTATTTTCATTCCGCTGTTTAATTATCGCACTCTGAACTCTGGTATTGTAATAAATAATTTTTAAGAACTCTTGTTGTATGAAATCGACTAAGCATTGTAAGCTCGTACTCATTATTGGATCCTGGCGGTAAAACGTGGATTGTTTCGAGTTCTCCCTTGGGTGGGTTCGACGGAACTGTCCGATGTAGCTAACTTTCGGGGTGTCTAGTGTCTAGTGGAAGACGAGAGCCTTCGAAAGCGTGTTGTTTCGAGCGGTTCTGCCACAGAAATTAAGAATGAGTGAAAATGTGTGGTGCACAGATAGTAAGAGTAGAGAGATAGAGAGACATAGATGTATTGAAAAAAGAAAAAAAGTGTATTGAGATAAGAGAATGATGCATTGAAAATGAGAATGACAACTATTTTTTGACAAAATTTGATTGTTACAGTTTTGGGATGGAGGGGGTACCTATGATCTCTCCGTTCGGCTGGTAGAATTTTGACTAAAACTGGCTGAAAAACATTGTTCTGGCTGAATTGTTGTGAGAGAAAAACACTATTCCGGCTGAAAAAAGAAGCCGAACAAACCAAATATGGAAGAGCATGGCACAATGTAAGATTAGTGTCACCTTCAACATCTTCCATATACTGAGTTTGCTAGGTCCTGCATCCTGCTGATCAGAGCCTTGGACCGTAGTCATTGATCATTCAAGAAAGGTGGCAACCATCTCCTAGATGAGATCAACCCTTGTTTCTCAATGAATCCTCTTACAGTGATATTCGTATACATAACTAAAACAATAAGGGCTTGGATTTCAACCATGAGTCAGCCCAGAAGAAAAAGTGGACTGGCCGCTTTTTTAACCTAATAACCTCAACATGTCTCCCTTTTGGTGGTGAAAGACTAAAAAACCGTCGTCCCAAACGAGGAACATATGCTAGACACAAATATTTTCTCAGTTACATCTGAAACTTCAGGTCTCACAGGTTTGCGGTATTTTTGTGTTATTCAACTGCAGGCTTGGTAGGGTTATACTATTGAGATGCTATTTCATTCCTGTAGTTCACATGTATTCAGATGAGCACGTTCCCATTCGTGTGCTACGAATACAATATTTCGTACAGAAATAATACAGCGCCATTTCTCTTCTGTATCCGGCAAAAGCTTGTGTACTTACATGAAAGTCGTAGCAATAGACTACACAGCGGCAAGCATACAAAGGAATTTGAATATTTAACCCACTTGGGGGCCGGCATTGGTTTTGTAAAGATGCCGTGAAGAATCTGCTTTTACATATGAGGCCATCAACTATGCTAGCGAAGGACCGGCGAGGCAAACTTGAACTGGTCCACGACCAGCGAAAAATCTGCACCATGTGAATCTGCCCCGTTTTCCACATTTGCACATTTTACATATCATATCGCGTATAGAAATATGTAACAAGCACAGCCCGGCACTAATGCGTTAACCGCCAAAATGCAATCATCACCACTATGGTGATGATCATACCAGCATACGCGATCCACTTGTCCACACGGTGCCGCCTCTCGATAAGCTTCAAAACAGAGTTTGATAGACCAACAGTGTTCAGGACATCCAAAGCTTTCCTTTGAGCACTCTGCAATACAGTGAAGATGGCTATTAGCAGGCACAAGTTATTAGACCATTATGAGCCATTAGGATTGATCATATTCAGTAATCCTCTGTCCACAGTTCAACTTCAAACTGATGCTTTATCGTGAATGAACAATATGCGTTACCTTCAGTCGATCCCTCTGGTCAGCGTACTTGTGAAGGATAGCCACTCCTGTCTCATAAGCTTCTTCAAGCATTCGTGAGGAGTTACGAGCTGATTGCTTTGCTTGGGCTTCGTCATCAAATATTCGGAGAACATGTGAAGATTCACCATTCTGCGTCAACAAATTTTCAGTTCTTTAACTAAACAATGAAATCATATGGGGGAAAGAAAAAGACCATATTATTGCTCAAAGGAATTATTACAGCTCTCTCAAATAGCTCAGCCCTTTCTTTTGCTTCCAGAATTCGTTTTTTCTGACGCAAAGAATGCTTATCAAGGGTTTCCTTCAATGAATCAACCTCTTCAGACAGCTGCTCCACTTTTCTGCAAAGACACAAAAAATAATGTGTCATAAACTCCTATTCCTAGCCCACACAAACTATGGACTTTCTACATTGAAGTGGAACTCAGCCTAATGCATATACAAAAACATTTCTCTCATATCCACCACGTGAAATGGCTACCTCTAAAAAAAGATCACATGTCCACACAGCAAACAGCATGATGCGTGCCAGCAGCCAGCCTGCTGACGCTTGGGCTTTTTGGTTTTGAGGAAGTGCACAGGTTGCACTAGAGTGCCGAGATCATGTTCTCCCACAAGAATGTTAATGGGTTATGGAGAACTTTCCTGACAATAACACTGTTTTTTACGAATTTCAGGGCCAACGTTATGAACAATTTGGATGATCCATGCAGCATTGCAAAGCACAAGTCTTACAGACCTAAGCATGCCAGTTTCATATAAATCCTTGAAGTTACTAGTGCTATTCGAACTAAACGACAGAGAGACAGAAACTGCTATCTATATCTATGCCTGTGGAACCAGAAATTGTTAACCTAAAAGGTAAGAGTCAGGCTTCAAGAAACAGATACAAGAAAAAACAGATTCCTGTGATTCAATGTGTACAAGTCATACGCCAAATTATTTAAAGTACTACTCGCTCCATTCCAAATTGCAAGATGCTTTGGCTTTTCTAGATACATAGTTTTTGTTATGCACTTAGATATACACTATGTCTAGATACATAGTAAAAGCAATGTGTCTTAAAAAGCCAAAACGTCTTACAGTTTGGAATGGAGGGAGTACAAGATCTGGTAAAGGGACAATCACCCACATGCAATTCAAGGTCAATTGGCTCTATTTGCAATCAAGGGCTAAATGGTTAATTCAACATCTCCAGGGACTCAATGATGTATTTGTGCATGGTTACAGCATTTGATTGCACCCTGAAGGTGAATAAGTGAATACACAAAGATAAGAACTGCTAATCAATTAGAAATAATGAGTAGGAAATGAAGATCCTAAGTGCATGTTTGCATAGTTGCTTGTTCCAATTCTTGTGAGAACTCCTTCCATCTCAAAAAAAATTCTTGTGAGAATTGCTAACTTTACTAGTAAATCGAAGTGCATCAAAATATTTTCGCTTACTGATTAATCTGTGAAAGAATCAAACTAAGAACACATAATTTTCTATATGGCCATGCACGCCTGTACTGCAGAGTTAAATTGCTAGTCCTAGACTCCTAGTTAATTCTAAGTGAAGCTTCAGTTTGCACTATTCATACTAGCGTTAAATGCAAAATAGCTGATTTATACCCTTAATTTCACACATATCTACTTCTTACTCAGTATTTAGAATGAGACCCAATAAAAGTTCTGCAAGGAAACAAATAGCATGTTCTTGGAATGTGGCTCTCTCTTGCTCTGGCTCCGCGCTATAGTAACCGGAGGAGACACAAAACGTGGCCTTACTGGCTCCCCATTGTTTTGAGGAGAGAGGAAAACAGCTTCATGAACAGTGCAGCTACAATGGCACATCAGCCAGAGCCAGAGCCATGAAGACTCGTACCAAACGGGCCTAAATACTCACAAAGCAAGTCCACTTCAACTTTTTGGCTCATGAATAAAAAGAATACGGCGCTCGGAGGTTCAATGAGAGTACATGTACCTCATCAATACTACTAGTTAGTTCATATTGTCCACTGCCCAGCCCCTATTATCGACCACATGTGCGAAACCAAAATTGAGACTGATCATAATGGCAAAACTAACTAGTTAATGGTCAGTCAATGAAAGCAGTAAACTTGACATGCTAAAAATGTATTCAACATGCGAATTGTTTCATTGATGCTTATCCATGCATGCCAAAACCTTATAAGCTGCACGAAAGTCTAACAGCAGAAAACCGAGAAATACTCCACCAGTCACAGATTCACAGAAGCAAATTCCCAATGCTATGGTAAATTCAGTTCGGTTACTCCTTGGCTCCTTGACACAAAATTCACGTCCTACCAACTGAACTGGCAAATATCACCAAGTTCACGACAAAGCTGGCTAAGATAGTAAGATAAAGCTATGGTCTGCGGCGCAAGCGGTGCGAGATCTCTGACCTCTCATCTCATTACCAACTCAAGATCGGCATAATCAATTGTAACCGAGCAGCTAAAAGGAATCAGAGATCTAAGGAGGATCCTCACCTCTTCCAGAGGTCCCGCTGGCCCTTGGCGGGGATGGATCGCCATAGTCGGTCCATCTGTGCGCACAGCCCCTGGATCTGCGCCACCTCTCGCCGCACCTCCTCAGCGACCGCGGGGTCCCCCGCAGCGCCGCCCCCTACGAGCGGCGCCGAGGAGTAGGAGGACGAAGTGGGCGCCGAGGCGAGGCGCTCGACGCGGGCCACGCCGTCGCGCGCCGAGAGTAGCAGCCGCCGCGCGCTCTGGTACATCTCCGACAGCGTCGCACCGCCGCCTGAGTACTCCATCGCCGCGGCGCTCGGCGTCGTCGGGATCGAAGAGGAAGGAGAGGGGGTTTCTACTTTTTTTTTCTCGTTCCCCCCTCTATTGTTTTGTTTTTCACAAAATGAATTTCAATTTTGAAGGATGGGAAAGTAAAGTAGCGATCTTGAGGTGGGACCCCCAGCGGGGCTGTGACGTGGACGGTAATATGTGGCAGGTTACTATTGGACAGCCTCTGGGATGGTGATTTTGGCACTGCCTGCCTTCCTCTCGAAGGCATGGGCTGGGCTCGGTTGCCATTACGTGCGGGTAAAGAGGTGCTTCTTAAAAATTAAAATTAAAACTTTGCCACAGTTATTATTATTATAGTTAAAACCGGATTACCTTAATCAAAACACAAAGGAGACACGATATTTGATTTAATGAGATTCCCACTTAAACCACATATCTTAATCTTCGTTGAGGAAGCCATGAGCAACCACTGAATGTCAAAGCTATAGTTAGGTGTCTTCCAACGAATTTCCCTATTTCACTAGTTTGATCTCTTTCCTTCTTGGAGGCAAGATCGAAAACCTCACAAACTTTCCTATGGCTTTTGACAACATAGGAAGCTCATCAGATGATGCCTAGCCATCTAGGAGGCTTGACCTCTAAGAAGATTTTGGCTTGCATTCTTTTGATCAGTAAATTAGTCTCTTTTAACCCAATACTTGGGTATAGAAAGAATCACACAATCTCATGTAGAGTGGGTTGAGGAGATTTCTCACAAGGATTAGAATGATTCTAAGTACATTAGGAACCAGCAATCCTCTAAAGAGAGGCCGAGAGGTATAAATACCCACTCAAGAAAAACTAGTTGTTACATGTATCGGTTAAAACTTGGTAACTTGGTTTTACAAGCCAAGTCACTTGATTTCTAAACCTACTAGTCGTTAGAGACAAAGCCTTCTTAGGCCTTCGAAATTCTGAGCATCCCAAAAATTCCAATCCAAAACGATAAAGATTCTCACTCAGAGAACATCTCAAAATTTCCAAAAAATCAAGCTCGGCGGTGCTTTGCAACCATGGCGGCGATGGCGGCGACGCAATGTGGCCTCACCTAAGCTCGGGAGCGCTGCTAGCGATCGACGGTGTAGCGCGCGAAGCGGCGGAGCTAGGGGCGCGACGAATCGAACGGTGGGGCTGTGGTGGTGGCGTGCTTGGCCAGCGAAGGCACGGCAGCGGCGCAATGTGGCCTCACCTAAGCTCGGGGAGCGCTGCTAGCGATCGACGGTGTAGCGCGCGAAGCGGCGGAGCTAGGGGTGCGACGAATCGAACGGTGGGGCTGCGGTGGTGGCGTGCTCGGCCAGCGAAGGCACGGTGGCACTGTTGTTGCTGGCTCTGGCAGCGCGAGCGAGAGAGGAAGAGAGTGAGGGCGAGAGTGAGCGTGGTGACGTCACGCCTGGCTCGTTCTCCCTCTAGACACGGCGACACAGGGACACGGCGAGCGTGCGGCGCCATGCAGTGGCCACGGCCTATGGCCGGCCCTAACTAGTGCCTCTCCGACCTCCCTCTCCCTCGGTTTGTCTTCACCGTAGGTCCTAGAAGCTAGTGCCGTAGCCCGTTGAACTGCTACCGCCTTGTCGACACCGGAACAGCGCGTTCGTACCGTGCGTGCCCTCCATAGCCACGAGCATGAGCTCGCCACGGCCAAACCTAACCGGTCCCCCTTCTCTCCCTCTTGTGCTCGTTTCCGCACCGACTTGAGCCCTAGTACCTTAACCCCAAAGACGAATGCATGTCGCAGGTAGTCATCTCATCGAAACGGCAAGCGCCGCAGCCGTGCACTGGGCGCCACCCAGCTCACGCACGCGGTCGAACCTCACCGCCGCTCCACCGTAGCCCTGAGCCCTAACCCTAGCTTCCTTAGGATTCACTGGAGCCCCAACCGAGCTCAGGCGAGCTCGGCATTGCCGGAGACAGCAATGATGCCGCAGCGCACCTCCGTTGTCCGTCATGGCTGTCATCGAGCTAGCTCCAGCGAGCCCCCTGGCCGACCGACCCTCTAGTAGATGCGCACGGAGGTGGAGAGCACGATGGTGATGATCGCGCCGCCGGAGACCTCACCGTCGGCGAGCTACGGCCGGTCAACCGTCACCTTTGCTCCGTGTGTGTATGACATGTGGGGCCCGTTGACCCCGGGTCCCAGCTGTCAGCGCCTCTGGGTGCATTGCACTGGGTGCGCGTAGCGATTTTGGATTTGAATGTTTTTCTTTATTTGTTTTTAGGAATTAAATACAAATTTCAAAAATTCATATCTAGAGTTAGGAGTGTCCAAATTGAGTGAACCAAATTTTGTTAGATTCATCTTGATGAGTACTACCTGTTAAAAATATGAAACTTGATATGTGCTACAGTTTTATACCCTATTTAAATTATCTTGTTTATTCTTATTAATCTTGAAAAATGCATAACTTGAGTTTTGGAGATGCTAAAAATGTGATTCTAATTTTGTTAGTCTTATTTTGTCATGCTAGAGCTAGGAAAAATGTTAAACTTATAGTTGACATGCTTGGAAAATGAATTCTTATTTTAGCTTAATTAAATGCTAGTTCTTGTGAAATTAATTTTGGTAGATTTATGTAACTTATGGGCATAAAATAATTTCTACAGTGTTCTAGTAGTATAGGGAATGTAAGAAAAATAGTAAATATGTTGTTTGACACTTTTTACTATGCTAAGTATATTTAAGTGGCTATAAAGCATATAACTTGTAATTTTTATAGAGGTTGTTATACTTGTCCAAATGACTTGAAATTTTAACAGAAGTCTCTTGTGAGCATGTATGAGCTGCTGTAATTTTTCCAGAATTTTTTGTGCAATATAAGTAGCAGTTCCAATTTTCATCCAAATTAAATAAAATAATAAAGACTTATATACAATTGATTTTGGTCCAACCATTATACTTTTCAATATGTTGGTGATGTATATAATATGTTGGTATAATTGGTTGTGACACATTTTGATTGGGTGTATGCAATTATATATTTATTGCTCTATAATTCAATTGCATCTAGTTCTTGAATTGTTTGCTTTATATGAGCATGATGCTTGTTGAATTAGATGATTAGGCTAATTAAGAGAAGTTGCTAGCTGCAGGTGATAGACATCTTAATGATGATGATCAACTCTATCTTAAGTTGCTAGAACATGGTGAGTATATGTTACTTTACTAGAGAAGAGATATGCACCTACTTAGTAAACTAAAAATTATCTACTAGAGATGAGATACGCGCTTACTCAAATAAAGCAAAGTAATACATATAGGATCGCCTAAGGGAATAACATTGTTGGAATTCGAGGCGGTGGAAGAAGAGAACCAGGAGGCACCGCATCAAGTAGCTCTAGAAAGCGAAGAGCAGGCCTAGAAGAATTATCGGAGTGCTCAGATCATAGGCCTACATCCTTTCTAAAAGACAAGCCCCGGAGCATTCTAAGCCTTCCATGTTTTTATAAAAAACACTTGAGTCCTTTATGTTTGATGCATTAGGTTATAAGAGTTGATTAGAAATACTTGATGCATAGAACTACCTTGTCCAAAAATATAACTTAAACCGTATGTAAGTCCAGGGTCAAACATATGCTTAGCTCGGTAGAAGTTGGGTGATTTCCTATCACCTGCGAGATATAGGTGGATATCGGAGCACGATTGGCTATATTTGCTATCGTGAAAAATAACCATAGGGTATTTTCTAAGTGGAGACCAGGCGAGATTTTTGTATGCAAATGGTGTTGGGTTGGCTTGTTGATCCCGTCTGTGTCGATTAAGGATCGTACCGTTGTTGGCACTTCTGTCGAGATTAAACGCATGCCTCTCACTTAGCTGGCAGATAACTCGTTTTGACCGCGAAGCCGAGTAGCTCAACTCAGATCGGGTCCCGTTCTGTAAAAGTGTGCATTCTAGATGATAGTAAGGATGTGCGGGGAGCCAGACGTGAGCCCAAGGGTAGGCGAGCCTGACTGTCCTAACCGCTAGTTGTCCCTGATTGTGCGGTACTAATTGAACCCGCAACATGTGTGCACTCGCTCGGATAGTGAGAAACTCGACTAGCTTCATCATCGTAGTAACTGGACTATGAAATTTGATGGTTATGATGAACATAGGAATGTTACATCGGCTATGGTTATTATTGTCATGCTACATAATTATATATCACATGTTTGGCATAAGTTAGATGCTAATCTAGAGATGAATAGCTACGATTAACTAGGGACCGAATTATAAAATATATAACTCAACTAGTGGATTTCATGCAAAATGTTGTTAAACTAGCTCCACTTATAAAGTCTTGCATGATTCTTGATGTCACTTTATTTTTGGTTTATGACGAGTAAGTCTAGCTGAGTATCTTCTCGTACTCAGGGTTTATTTCCCACTTATTGCAGATGGTACTGTATACCATAGGTACTGCAAGAATTGCTTCTCTCCCGCCGTGGAGGAGGATTAAGGCCGCGAACAAGGCTCTTCTATGTTGTCTTACCTATGATGCTTTTGTTGGACTCGATCACAAACTGGCATGTATTTGAACAAAGGTGTGTGATGTTAGTTTTAAAACTATATTGCTTCCGCGACTATATTTGAACTTGGGTTGTAATAACTTTTTTTGTACTCCGATGTATGTTAAACTACTTGTGAACTTATGTAACATATGGCTTGTATGTTGAATCATGTACGATCTTGATTGTATGTTGGATTATTTAAGATCCTTCGTGATACTCGACGAACTACCGGGTTTATATGGGCTTAAGTATGATAGTGCGATCGCTCCGGTGGTTGCTATTGTACTTGTGCTCTTATAAATCGGTCGGTTCTGCCACAGCTGGTATCGGAGCAAACTCTGCCCACTCAATATCACTTAGGTATTCTCAAGCACTAGATGCTTGTCAAATCAATACATGTTGAGTCCATCTCGAACGCTAGTGCGGCACCTGTATACTACATGCCACCACTTGACCTTCATCTCCTCTTTCCCTCAAAGACCCCAAC